GCGGAATCACCGCCACTCGAGCAGCCTCGGCATTTTTTCTCTCCCTCTCTGTACGTCTCGCTTTCCGCGCTGGCCGTTGTTGATCGTACGCGCACCACGAGATGCACAGGATGGTGGAAGGTGGTCAGAAAGCGGCGTGAACGCCGCGACAACGTTCGCTACGTCCGAATTCCGAATGCACGGGATCCAGGAGACTTTCACCATATGAATTTCTCACGCAGTGCATTGTTATGCGCCCGACCGACCGCGGACGGTTTTAACCTAAAACGCGCGCGCGCGCGCGATTCTATCGTGATAAAAACGACGGTTCTCACGCGAAGACGTTGAGACGCGTCTCCATACACGTCACGCAACGTATCCGCCACATTTTTCGACGGGCTTTTCGGACAATTGGAACACAAGGTTCGTATGAATGACGAGCAACCGAACCGCCCGACAAAACACAATTTCACCTACTGCCACGGTCCATGCACGAATGCAACTGAATACACGTCGCCGAGATGGCGCCATCTTGCACATTGCAGTCATCGATCCGTCGAGTGCATCGAAGTGTTTTATCATTTTCTTCGATGAAATTTTTGGAAGATGTTTGTTGTAGTTTCGTTGCCTGAATGAAGTGGGAATTTGGATATGTGTATTGAAGAGATTGTGAAGATTTTTTGGGAGTATATTTTACATGGGTTTTTTTTAGCAATGATACAAGTAACTAGATAGGGCAACATGCCGACGCTAGGAAAGTATTAAGGGCGCGGGAAGGTTTAAATGTTTAGGTTAATTGTGAGAGATTTATTTTGGAATACGGGGAAAAAATTATAACAGTTAATGTTCATGTTTCAATGTGTCATCTTCGCAATTATGAAAAAGTTCTTATATAAGGATTACTTTAAATTTGTCGATATAGACAAGGAGAAAACATAAAATGTAGACTTAATTGTTCTCATAGAAATAGAATATTCTTAGTTCACAGTGAAAATAATAATTTTTTTTGTATTTCAAAGTAATGCACATTTTTCATTACCTTGCGTGTCGTGTCCAACTGTGGTTGATAGTACTATGTACTAATTTGAGAGCAATCAAAGATTACTAATGTTTTGATATTACGATCAATTAGCTAACTGACTCTATATTTGATTATTGGACTTTAGCTAGTTTCTCAAGGATTACTCGGAAACGAGTAGAGATAACCAACAAAGTTATCAGTGAAATAATACGCGAAAGTGCTTTAATTCAAGCAAGTGATATCTATATAGTATCTGCAATAACATAAAAAGAAAACGTTTTCATATACCTTTTATTACAAAATAAGCTTCTACTAAAGATCTTGTTATCGATACTTTTTTCTCTACAATATTAGCAATATACCGGGTGGTACAAAAGTGCAGTGTCCTCAGAACATTTATGCATGCAAACTTTATTAAAAATTTCTTTTATCAGCAAGCAGATACTTTTAACAAAACTAACAATCTACAGGGTGTTCCAAAGGTGGAGAATCTTTTAAACATTTATATATACAAATTTAAGAAAAGAATTTCTTTTATTAGCAAGCAGGTTGTTGTAATAAATTTACCAATGTACAGGGTGTCTCACAAGTACAATCAGAAAGAACGTTTAAACAATGAAGGAAGAAGAATTTGAAAAAATTTTGGGATAACCTGTACAACGTGAATGAAAGTCACAGCCACAATTTCGATACGTATTCCTGTTAATTCAAGTGCACTTTCACGTGGCGAATGCACACGAACAAAGTAAACAGTATAGGTAATTTTAATTGCATTTTCGATCCGCAGATCTGGTGCATCAGAATGGAAACGTGGGCCAATTACGAAGTTGATAATTATCATTATTGTGTCACCTACATCGCTCGTGGTCGCGCTGTTGTGCATTTTAATAAAGTCTCATGTTCGACCGCCTTTCGCCCGTATCATAATGAATTCGACGCGCGTCCACGCCGTTGCGTCACCTCTGTTCAATAATTCAAAAACAGGTTGCAAATTCGTTGCACCGTTTAAGAAACGTCTCGGCATCGCTGCACCGTCGCATGCAAGATGAAATCTTGTGCATACATTACGCGCGCGCCTTTTCCCTCCACCTAACCCTATTTCATGGGACTACAATAGGAACGAACTTTTGAACGTTGCTTCAAAACTTATGGGTAATATTTGAAATAATGTTCAGTAGTATTGTAGTGATGTATCGAATTTATCGGTTATTGCTTGTTAATTGTTCTTGGTAATTGGGAAGTTGAAATCGGGATTCGGTGTTGTGCAGTTTATATACAGGGTGATTCAATGGGAAAAATTTATTATTGTTTGTATTGTTAGTGAATCGTTTGATTTTGATTTTTTGGTGTAACAGGAAAATTTGTAGATGTATTTGAAACAAATTTACGGTGCAAATGCAACATTTGGCACTTGTGAAATTTTAGAATTTTATGAAATTGTAGAGAGCCAGAAGTTTGGAAGATTTAGGAAACGTCGAAAATGTGTAGAATTTGAGAAACTTGGAAATTTTGTAAAATTTCTGAAATTTGTGAAACGTAGAAAATTTCTAACATTTTTGGAAACTTGAAAAAGAATGTTCATTGAAATCGTCGGAGCTTTACTTTATTCGTAAGGGAAATAAATTTTTATAAGAACGATCACTGTGCTCTTAAGTTGTTAATAACTGGAAAATTATCGGATTGCATGCGTGATTTCTGAAGATTGCGATAATGACGGGAATTCACAATGACGGCGCATGCTTGATATCGACTTATAGCAACCTCGTGAAACGCAGTCACAGCCGCAGCAGCCACAGCAACACAGAATAACGATAAATGGAAAGGGAAACAAAAGCAATATCGCTGGTAAGGGAATCTTAAATAGATTCTTCAAACAATTCTTCGCTTCTTTCAAACTGCAAAAACCTCAATTTCTCAAACTTGCACCATACAACCTTCATTCTAAATTATCAATTATGTTTTTGAACTACTCGTAAATTATTTAGAAGAGATTTTCGAAATATCGGAAAGAAATTTTGAAATGTTCAATCTTCGAATTTTCCTTTAATAGAAGTTATCAGCTATTATGTTTAACTTGTGCGTTTTCTTTTTACCACGATTGATTTTTCATTGAAATTTTGATTGAATCTTGAAATTTGAAAAAATTGTCAAATTATCGAAAAGAAATTTTGAAATATTTAATCTTCAAACATTCCCCCGATATAAATTGCCAACATTTATTTTTTAACTACTATACTTTCAAACAACAATGAAACAAATTCGATAAACTTTCCATTTTCAATTTTAAAAATTCCATTCGCTTCCATCGAGATCAAATAAAAATGATAAATTTGCCCCTCCAGTGAGTAAATTAATTTATCGCTGCGAGGATCAAACATCGTAAAATTCTACAACTCCATTAGCACAATACCTCTAAACGATTTCGTCAATATTGCTCGGAATATCAAAGAATGCAATACGTCCAAGAAAAAGAAAAGGAAAAGTGCGCTGTCGCCTGCTGTTTGTGCGTGGGGCGCAGTCGCGTTGAATTTCCATCGCCAGTCCTGCATTGACCGTCGTCCGTGTTCGTGTTTTTCCCAGTTTTCCACCTGGAAAGACAACTCTTGAATACCACGTCTGTTTACAGAAAAGAACGAACAACGTGACACAATTTTACCGTGGACAGAAACCCAAAAGTTCTGAAATTCAAAAATTCACGATTTTTGTTTTTTCGTTTAATTTAATCGATAATTCTTTGATTGAACAATCAAGCAGGTGGCAATTTTTTGATTGAGTCCAATTCTTTTGAGGGATTTCTTTTCACAGATTCTGTGGCAAATAGCTTATTTTTCATTTCGTGAATAAAGTTAATCTGAGGGAGGGGAAATTGCAACAATGTTTTCCCATTTTTCAGTGATTCGTGCAGAAAAATTCTCTCAATGGGTTGTTTCTTTCTCTTTTTGAAAATTGGAATTAATTTGAAAACGTGAAAATTTATTTCATTTACTTCATTCAGAAGGATCAAAATTAATTTTATTTATTTCGTTTGAAGAAAAAAGTTCATTTTAGCTATTTCATTTAAGGAAAAAGATTATTTTATGTATTTCATTTAAGAAGAGAAAAGAGGAGAGTATTTAGGCAATCCTTCTGCAAAAATCACTGAAAAGAGAGGTACAATTGTTGCAATTTTTCTCAAAAAGTTTCCTTCAAAATTGCAACAATTTTTCTACTTTCAGATTTTCACGTTTCAAAATTGAAAGAAAAATAGATTTTTGGAGGAGGATGTTTTTCATGACATAAAGTAAATTGTTCATCCTTCTGCTTCGCTAATGTTGAAGTGGTGTTGGTTGTTTGAGCAACGCTTTGAATTCGCGGATACGCGACGCCGCTTGTTGCATCCGCGAGTTCGTGTAAACAATTGGGAATGCTCGAGAGGGTGGCTCTTTGCACGCCGCCCTTTCGTTTTACGCGACATGAATTTCCCAGTGGCAGGATTTTCGAACGTTTTCGAGGCAGCCACTTGATAGCCGAGAGCTAAAGGCAACCTCAGAAAGGACAATCCTCTTGAATCTGCAGTCACGTGTAAATATTTAGTCAAATTATTCACAATTCAATTCACCTAAGTTGATAAAACTGTTTTTCAAATGTTCTTTTTATTGTCATATGCAATCAGTCGGTATTTTAATTCCAAATGCAACACTTCTTGGAAATCAAGATTTTTTAACTCAATTACTATTGTTTCTTGAAATTTTCACATTTACCCATTTCAAATTGTAGAGGGTTCGAAAAATTTAACTACCATTTTTCATTTAAGCCACTGCAAAAATAATGATCTATGCAAGTGGCGAAACATTTTGAAAAATCCAAAAATCAACAATTTTACCTTTTCTCCATTTTCAGACTGCACTGGTTTGGAAGAAATTCAACGACAATTTCTCTGTGAAGGTCCAACCAAAAATTTCAGTCGTTAAAGTATAAATCAAAATTCAATCGAAAAACTATAATTCTTTCTTGAAGAGCCATTATTTTGAGAATTTTTTTTCAATTTTCAATCCTTTCCACTTTCAAAATAGAAGCAAACACGTTAAATTATTAATTATCGCTTCATTAATTTCTTCAGCCAAACGAGAAATACTGTCTGAGTTTCTTCAAGTTACAAAAATCATCCCTTTCCAAACTTTGAGCAAACTATTAACCAGAACCTAATTAGTCTGGTTAATTACCCATGCAATATATCCTTTAAACACCAAGATTCTCAGTTCTGACTGCATCCCACCTCCGCTCCTCATCTTCGTATTTCACCTACAAAGTGCACTGCAAATATTCATCAAGCACTAAGTAAGTCGGATCAACCGCTTGTTGCATGCACATAGAGTAAACAAGTGGTTTTAACCCTGAAATAGTAACATTAAGTTTTTGTGACATTAACGTTAAAAATAATCTGGTACTTGA